TGATAGCATCAATATCAATTTCATAATCTCTTTCAAACGGGTGTTCCTTAATAAATGACCTGTTTTTGCATTTCAGATTGTAATCTTCAAAAATTTTTATTCAAAACCTGAGTACACTAAAAGATGCAACGTAAAGAGCTCTATAATTCACAAAGCAAGACTGATTTTGGTTGTTTAATTTTGATTTTGAAAAAGACTAAATTCTATACGACCACTTTTCGATATTGTCAAAAAAACGATTACTTCGTTCTCATTTTATCTGTGTATCTCTTAATATGTTTTTTTTAAAGTATAACACACCAGAAGGTGCAGCGTGAAAAGATCTACAATCCGCAAAGTAAAGTATATTTTAGTTGTGCAATTTTTGTATTCAAAAAAAAGCAAAAGTCCGTAGGAATAATTTCCATTGTATCTAAAAGATCATTTTTCTATTCCTATGAGTTAATCATTTTTTTCTTATTCCATCCTTTTATCACCTAATTAGTTTTATCGCATATATCTCAAGATGCAGCGTAAAAAGTTCTACAGTGTACAAAGTAAAGCTTTTTTAATTGTATATCTTGTATTTTGAAAAGAAACAAAATTCTGTGAAACCGTTTTGCGCAGCGTCGAAAACTGATTGCGCAGAATTCCATTTATTTTGAAAATACCAAGTATACAGTTAACCCTTTGGTGCCGGACGTGGTATATATACCACCTCAGATTTTGACAAATACTCGAAACAGTATTTATACCACTCCAGCCGCCAAAGGGGTAAAATAATAAATAATAATTTATTTAGTAACCTGCATAAAGCTTGTTTATGTTCTATATGGATAATGGGCGATTTTATCCTATTTATCCAAAAACTTAAATAAAAAAGTTTATTTTTTCAAAAAAAAACCCGGGCACCAAAGGGTTAAAATAAGCTTTCCTTTGTAACTGCAGAGATCTTTACGCTACATCTAATGCTATTTTTTGTGCTTTCTTAAGATGCATTTAAAGATTAAAATGTGAAATAGAAAAATTGGCCATTTATTATCGGACATCTGATATATTTTGCGAGAAATAGATACATTAGAATAGCAATAAACAATTCCTAAGACTAAAATTTAATCTTCATACATAAAATACAGAATCACGTCGAACATATATATGTTGAATATAGTTCTACTCTAGAATACACAGGAAGTGTAAAAAATTAGAGAAAGCAATAAGTTCTTATTGATTTCAATAATTTATTTTAGGAGTTGCAATTGCTAACCATTGCATTGCTGGCGCGCCGCCTATGATTTGCAATACAAAGATTATTTTTTATAAGACATTTTGTTTTATTTGTCATATAAAGTGAATAAGAAATACCTAAACTTCAGTTTGTAAAAGTCTGAAAATGAATGTTTAATACAGTTAATCATCAAGAAACATATCTCGATTACAATCTCGAAGCAAAATACAAAGGATTACATATCTACAATTAATAATAGTTCAACAAAGACCAAAACATGAAAAAGAGTAAGTTATTAAAGATAAAGAAAAAAAGTTGTTTTTTTTAATGTTTTGTCATTGTTACGATCTTCATTTAAAGTTATTCATCAGAATAAGTAAATCATAAAAAATACCTTATATTAGCAAAATCCAATGTAGTTAATATATTTAAATATAGAATATACGATGATTTCAGTAAAACTCAACGAATCTCTCATCAAGGTCATGGTTATGAACTTGACAAAAAAAACTGCTCATGGTCATGGCCGTGACCATGATCACACTTAATATGAAGAAGGCTTTCTTTATTAGTAATTATCATTTTCTTTAACAAGTACTGCGTCAATTCTTCTGTGTCAAATATAAATATCAAAGATACACAAAATAAAAAAATGTTTAGCATCATCAAAATAAACATAACATATAGTTATAGTAGTTTGTGTTAAAATGCAAAGTAGAAAAACGTATAATTATCCACATTCATCATCACTAACATTGATATTTGGATAATTACCAAATGGTATTTCATCTCCAGGATTCTTTCTTCGATTTTTCTCACTAATTTTAGCAAATAAAGGCTCGGCATTATTAAGTAATGTAGTAACATCAGCATATGCCTCACCCATTTTAAGATCCAAATGTGCACAACAAATGTTTTCAAAATGCCAATCATGCAGCATTTTACGCATCCAATCACGAAATAAATATGGTGCATAACTTGTTGGATAAAGACCAGAACTTTTAATTGATGGATGAAATGCCATCACACCATTGTTATAACCAAATAATTTAAGTAAAAAACAGGTTTTTCAGTATACAGGGTGTCCCATAAGTAACAAGACAAGGAAAAAAAGTTTGAATATCTCCATTAGGGCTCGACCAAATGGGCTCAATTTTTTATCAAGGATAGAGGCATCTGCACACTCCAAATCCATACGAACAAGGTGAACGAGAACCTTTGTTAAGTATCACTATTGACCTCAACAATAAAATTTTT